AAATGCAATGTTGATGCCCAGAGCTTGAGCCCAGGACGCCAACATGAGGCTTCATAGATGTATGGTGGTGAACGAATTTAGCGCACGCATATATCAAGCCAGGCTTCTAAACTTCAATGTAAAAGTGTACTAAATTATGAGAAAGTGAACGAGGAAAATGAGTAATTGGAGGAAACATACCGGGCCACTGTATGCTCTGGTCGCCAGGCATGCGTAGTTCCAGGGTGGTAATGGGTTTTCGCACCTGTGGACCTTCTGGGCTCAGGTAGGCTCCCTTGGGTTCTCGAAGAACGGCGAGTCTTCCGACGGGTGGAGCTGTACTGCCGGCCGGTTGCCTGACACGCACCGGGAACATGAGTCTGTTCTCACGGAATGCCTGCACCTGCAGACTCAACTGTCCCGCGTGTGATGGATAGGACGAAATGTCACCGGCAGTCTCAATCCAGTAGGGTTTCGAGTCTGACACCTTCAAATAAAAACAGAGGAAGCATTGTGAGGCAGCGAGAAAACGGCCTAGCCAATCACCGCCTTGTAAACATACGTTATTGTTATAAGTCAAACGCAACAAGGACCTCTAAAGACAGTCCTGTCGTCCTGAATTACGCAGCCCGCCTGCGCACCTAAACCACTCATCCAGCGTTCACTAATGGTCCGTGTGAACGGTTTCGCCCTAGGATCTATCCAAACGCGTTGTTCGTGGACTTATCTATGCAGCAGTACTGGACAATAGGGCAACTGGTCTGAGAAGTATTCGGTGGATGCTATGACACAGGACGGTGAGAGTGGGCAACAGAGTCGTTTAGGCAGAAGACAGATCGTTTACCAATTTACCTCAACATAGGGGCCAACGGCGATCAGCTGGAATTTCTCCTGATTTTCCAGAGTCTTCTCCGGAGCGTCGTCAATGAGACAGACGCATCGTAGTTCCGCATCCGCTGGGTTTAGAACCTTTGGTCGGTGCAACTTGGACGTCGCTTCTTGTGCCTCTAGGGCTATCCTGTCTTCGGGCAGCCGTCCATAGACTGCAAATTGACCCATGTAGGGCGGCAAGATGCTCTCTTGATAGACTCGGCTAGCCACCTCTGTGACATCGGGGACACCGGGCGCGTCGACCAACCACAATCTTATGGGGGGTAAGACAGAAAAAATATCGATTGATTTCGCGATTTTCTGTGTGAAAAAAAAACTGCTGAGTTTAGAGGAAAAACGCAAGCGCTGGTACACCGAACCGAGGAACATGTAGTGGGGCAAGAGCATACATACCTTGCCGATACCGTAGTTGTAAAGGAAGCACAGTCTTTTTGTCTTGTGAGGGTCGTGGAACCAGTCACGTCTTCCCAGACTGCCGGCACAGTCCCTGCCACGATGGAGCACAGAAGGCGCAAGCTCGAGGGAACATGTTTTTCCGACTCGCCTTTCGAGGGTTGTCGTGGGAGAGGTATGGTGACGGTTATGGGCTTGTGGAACTTCCTGCGTCGTGGTTCAATTGTAACAATGGGTGAAAAGGCAATCCGATTGCCGACAGTTTTGTCTATGATATCCTGCGGAACTACTTGCGCCTAGACGAAAAGCAGAAGGAAGATTTAATTTAAAAAATCTGCCAAATCCTCACACAATTTTGCGGAGTGTTCATACAAGCAGCACCAGGAGGAGGCCTACCTGAAGACCGACTTTTATTTTTTTCTGAAGGGCCCCCTCAGGGAAGACAGCCTGCACCTTGGGTGCCACTGTGGAACTGAGAATGCCACCTTCGGGGCCAATCAACGCGATCTCCTGACGGAAACGAGTTACGAGGGCAAAGAATTGAGGAATGTCTTTGGTGAGGATGCGTTGGATGCGACGATCTTTCAAGATATGCATAGGCTCCAACTGATCTGCAGGGCAAAATTACAAAATAACTTAGCTGAGAAACTGTATGCACCGCATTAGACATTATGCAAACAGGTGGTCAATCGATTTCTTTCAACCGAATGCCAGTGCAAACAACTGTGCTTTAAAATATACCTTCAACGTTTTTATTGAAATGAATGTGACTATACGAGTCCCAAGTTCTTGCACTAAAGAAGACGGATGTCCAATCACTGGAACGGTGAGTTTATTGACCTGAACCAGTGATTCCACGCTCAACTTCTTTGCAGTTTTTATTAGCTGTTCGGTGGCAATAGGAAATGAGGAGAGTTCCTTCCTCTCGACTTATACAGGAGGAATCAAAGTAAGTGGATATTTAGACACCCATCCATTCAAGGATATTAAAAGCCGGGTTCTTTTCAGTGAAATCTAACTGGATCAGGGAACGGGGTTTATATGGTCG